ACGTCTTTGCACAACTCGTAACCACGTACATGATAGCGGAAATAGAAAGGTCGATCACCACCGCCAGTCATCGACTTTCGCATGCTTCCAGTCAGTGCGCCCAGAACAAACTGCTTGAACTGTTGAAGCGCTTTTTCGATTCTCGCAGTTTAGAGACTTCAAATATGTAGTCCTCGAGCTGCTGCTCTGGGATGACTTTCCAATGATTCTTCGACTTGCATCCACAGCCTCTCTCAATCCCATCGCGTATGTCCGAGGAGACCACGCTTCACCTGCTCCGTCGTCGGTGGCTCAGGTGCGGGGGTATCTGGTTCGTCATCCGATTCCAAGTAGTCGGTGTCACTCTCCGCGTTTGAAATTTCCGAGCTGTCGGGGCTTGGCGTTTTCGACACAACACTAGCAGCACTCGAGCTTGCTGTGACTCCATACGTCTTCTTCTCCTTCTGGGTGGCATATCATCGCCGTCGCTGTCAGCATCGGCGTCGGAATCGCTCGCGGACGACTCGCGGGTGCCAGCGCTGAATTCGTAAAAATTCTCGTCGTCCAGTTCAAGCACCTTCGCATCAGGGACTAGTCGACTCCACACAGAATCGAGCTGCGTCGTCTACTAGATGTTGTTGCCATAATCAATCACAGTAAGTGGAGCCTCATGAGTTACTCGACAATCGCTCGAGCTCGGAATCCTTCCCCGAACACCTAACAAGAGGACAGCTCTTGAGTCTTGTCAAAACAAAAGTGACGAGTTCTGCGCTTCGCGTAACTTTGAGTCGCGTGACTTTAAAACGTCATAACTTGATTTTGATATCAAACGTCGTAGGGCGGTTTCTATAGTCCCTGGCTCATATATTTCTGTCTGCCATTCACAGCACTTGATCAGCCTACCAAACTTTCTGCCTAGCAAAGCGCAAAGGTAAGTACGTCCCTCTATCCAAATGTTACGGTTTTCCGAAGTTCTCTAGTCAGTTGAGTATTAGTAAGAAGATGAATCTTGTAGTGGAGGAGCACTGCGCTATTTATAATGTTGTGATACATGTATTGAGGCTTTGGTGGAACGCTCTGCTCCGTTTGAAGCGCGACAATTTCTTCGACACCTCTAGAGGAAGAGTGAGTCTGTTTCAGCCACGGCGATGCAGACGTTGTTGGAAATTCACAGCTTGGTTAAATCTACGAAGTAGTACTAGTGGTGGCGACTTCGGCGATGATTTGTAAGAAAGGGTTTGCTCCTCACACCGGAGCTCGCGCTATTCCGCCGACTTTAATGACAATCAACTGAGTCACGACTGCAATCCAGAGCACACGAGAAGTCCATCGAACATTCGACTCCGCGAACCAGCAAGAAAGCACCACTTCCTGCTCTATACACAGTGTTCCGGGGAATTCACCCCTCATCAGTTGAGCTTGAGTAGGCTGAGGAAGATTGTGCCTGAAAAGCACCACTTATATAGTGCTCTTCAGGCACAAACATCACCAGGGATACAAACTTACAGAGACGCTCCGTTTCCAGCGCGATAAACACCTCATGAACACAAGATAGCAGCGTGAGTCAACAATATATTGTTTAGATTTAACAATGGTTAAATCCAAACAATATAATTATTCTAGGCCTCGACCAAATCTGCTTGTGCATATTTCCGCATATTTTGTGACACAGTTCATATATGCCATATTGAGTGACAAATGGAATATTGGAATGAATGCAGCATATCATTCAAATATTCTGAAGAAAATATGGACAAAACATTCTTATTATTGGCAAAATGCGTTCAGAAATGCCTTTTATGGATGAATTTGGAATGGTTGAGGCGTTTGCTACATTTCCCCCTGGATGAACAATATCGCAACGGTTGCTGGGGACACACTCAAGCCGTACTATTCCGCATGTGTTTTGATTTGCACCATAAGCATGATAGTCGTGAAGCCAATGAATATTCCAAGGTTGTAATTTTACTGAAATGTTCTACACTTTTTGCTTATGTCAAGAATATTTTAGCATATTTTGGCATATCTTTTTGCATATTTTGCAAAGCCTTTGGCATATTATGGACGTTTTCTCTGGTATGCGACGAGCATAATAATATGCTCTTTTTTAGCATATTTTTCGAGGCCTAATATATTCCTAATAGAGAGGTTTTGCAGAGCGAACGTTCGCGCAAATTTTCGTTTGACGTCACGAAAAGCGAAACTTTGTGCGAACGTTCGCAGTTTTGAACGCGAAAGTTGCAGGAAACGCGAAACAAACTTTCGCAGTAATTTTCGCTCTTTGAGGACCGCTGGTCAGCCTGGTGCACGGTGAGCGACCCTCAATCTTCATGTTTGTGCTGGATCTCTACTCTTGGCTTGGTCCGCGAGTGCTAGCTTTCCGATAGTTTTGGCAGCCCGTGTTGTTTCATCTCCAGAACCATCTCCGATCTCCTGCTTGCTCGTCTTCTCACTGCTCAGAATCGGTTACATCAATGATGCCTTTTTGAATCTCAGGTGTTGATGCGCAAGATTACGGCACACGGCCAACCCGGCCCGTTTGTCTGTGGGTCTCCGGCCATGGACAACGTAGTCAAAAAGCTCTCGTCTCAGGCCGTGACTCAGGGTACCTGGTGCGCGTGCCGCCACTCGCAACAAACAAATAATCGGATGGAGAACAATTCTCAAAAACAAGCGAGTGCACACGAAAATTTCTTGGAGCGAGAAACATGCAAATGTTCGCAGTAATGTTCGCTCTTTGTGGACTGTTCGTGCGCGGCGAGCCACCCTCAATCCTCATGTTTGTGCTTGATCTCTACTCTTGGCTTGGTCCGCGGGTGCTAGCTTTCCTATACAATAACGCACACAACTCTCTGCCCGACACTCTGTTGTTGGGCGTAGACAATATCTTTATCGCTTTGCGAACAGAGAACATTTCACATGCCATGAATTTTGTACCGGCTCAGATGCTCGTTTAATTCACAAAGGTCCTGTTGGTGTTCTAATTGTGCAGTTCCCAAAGAATGCCGTAGTGCGGTGAACATTGCTGCATAAATGAGGGGACTGTGCTGTATAATGAATACAAGTTGGATGAAAGTTCTACATTGCGGATACAGAAGATGTGCACAGCATAAATAACATATAATTATTTTCAATAGTTTAGGAGGGTTACAATGCAGGTGAGTTTTAACCAAGGAGCTACTTGCACTGCTTAGACTAAAACCTTACACATCAAGTATTTATAATTTCGCATCCGCTATATGGGGATTTGCACATGTGTCTGTACGCAAACACGACGTTCGATGCCCAAGAAACAGAATTGAAGCCAGTGGGATAAATCAAGACAAGATGCTGCTCTCCATTATTTTATCTCCATATACAGGTCCTGATCAGGAACATTGAGAGATGGTCTTGTTTCGTAGGCGACATTGACTGTTAAACTATCTTCACATGTAGCAACTGGTCCCATAGAGTCCCTGCATTTGTTGCGTTGATCGATACACGTTCTCTTCTTCGGTACCCAGCTCTCCTGTTTAGTAGCATGACATGTAGGAGTAGCATATTCTGCCTGTTCACAAGGCTCACCGCCGTGGTCTGACTCCTGCTCTGCAACAGTGGTAACAGGATAAAACCGTCCCGCTTCACCGCTGCCTGGTCCATAACTGTGGCCGTGGGGTATTAACTTCGTCACGGCACCTTTTTTTGATTCACCAGTGGTGATTTTGGATGATGATGGTGTGACAGTAACCACCGTTGGGCGGCAGGTTGCCCAGTTAGTCCCTGTTCGACGGGTCGCATACACTGGCAAGTCGCTGCTTTCTCTGTTCATTCTTCGCTGCCTAACGTAATTGAGAATCAGCGCCAGGACATTTGCACCCATAAGTAGTCCAGTGACGGCAAATAAGGCTACGAGGACGAGGTCCATTTGGTTCTGATTTCGACACTGAATGTTTTCACATGCGTCTCTAACTTGTTCACAGTTTCAATACCATTGAACCAGGTCGATCGGTAATCGAAGAGACATTACTAATTTTGTGCGTCACTGGGTCTCTGCTGGCATCCTTGCCTTTTCAAATAAAAGCAATACATGTGAAGTAAATGAGATTGTCTAATCCTATCCTCATCTCCCAAAATAAATTCTCATCGAATGTTATGCCAGTCCCTGACATGGTCATCCCGTCTACAAGGTTTTTGTATACGCATTAAGACATTTCAACTACAAATACACGTTTTGAAGTCTGTGCCACATGGAAGTGATTATGGTCTAGGTTTCAGGGAGCATGCGTGTCATGCATGCATGCGTGTCATTCAAAAGGGTGAACGTCTGGTGTGGCGTACTAACGCTAGGAGCTCGTTGCCTTCCGTTTTCTGATTTTCGGAAATGTTAGTACGAAAACAGATGGGTAAGCATGATCCCATATCACATTGTCTTGTGCTTGAATCCAGAACTGGCTCCGTGACATTACGTGTGCAAGTGATGTATCATACCAAGTTGACCCTATATGTTGGTAGTGTAAGTCAGTCAGATATGTATCTCTAACTGTTTGACCTAGCTCCTGTTGCGTCTGCCGTCAGGTACCGATGCACCAAAGAGACAGTGCCTACACCGAACACTGACACGGTTGCTGGATGATAGCCAATCAAGACGTACAGGTTCTGGATTTTTTATTTATTTCAGCGTTTGGCATTTCCCTAGAACTGCTGAAATCAGGTAGTGGGGTGTGCTGTTATCGTGATGGTTGGGCTTTGGAAGCTAGAATGCATTCCAGTAACGGATCTTCATAGAAAGGGATCCATGAAAGGTCCAAGTATCGTAACGCATGAAGGGTTGAAATGAACTTGTCATAACTTTGAACATTGACATGCACGTTAGGCTTGGAGCTGCAATCATGAGGCAAAGATGACGGAAACAGCAAGTTCACCCCTCTATGTGGATGGAGTCACCAGTTTCTAATCGATCTCTTCTATGTCTCAAAACGTGATCAAGATGCAAAACAACCTGACCAACAATACAAAGGACACGAATGCACGTGATGTCGTGATTCTAACTTCAGCGGAAATTTGACATTTTTCTGACCTTGAAACTGTGTTAAATTGAAAGAAGTGAACATGCAAGCCAGTGAAATGAATTCCGAATGAAGGATGAAAAGTACTGGATGCGTGACAGGAAGGCGCATTATGAACGAGCTAAGAGGCTGGGTTTGAAAAAAAGAAGGTTACAACACATTGCCTTAGTCTACACCTGGAATCAGACACAAAGCAAAACAATTGTCATTTATCAGGCTGAAATGTTTACGCCTACGAATACAATCATATTGGAAATTAAATGGGAAATACACTGTCATCTAGAATCAGCCAGCGAACAACACATACAGTTCCATCCTTTGCCATGGAGCATACTACTTCAGTATCATTAACTTGTTTGAGGGAAAGAGACGAACAGTATATGCATGTTTTACACACCAGCCAATCAGACAAGATTCCATAAGTACACATAGATGCGAATGCAAATTTCAGATTGCAGACAGAGTAAGTCAGAATGTTTGTGTGCTTTTCAATTCTAGCGGCTGAAAAGGAAGAAATTAGGTCGCAGTATGCTTTGTTAAAACGTGCATTAGACTAGTCTGTACTTTGGAATTGTTTGCATAGCGGTCATAGAGGTGGGAGGGGGAGAAAAAGGGGGGAGAAACGAAGTAAAAAAAATGCAGGTGGTACAAGAACGGCAGTCCTATATTCAGCAACAATGTAATTCGTCCTGTGTGAATCCTCTAAGGCACAAACAAGAAATGGAAGATGCTAATTTACGAACAAGCCGCATTATGCGTGCTGAAGGCTGAACTTTTAAAGCTAGATGGAGATTGTTCTAACGGTCACTTTATGCGAGTAGTAGGACCATACCAACTACTGGAAGAGAGAGGTCAAATGGTGGCCGATTTACTCTGACCTTGCTTTGGATAGTTTCTTCACTCCCGCGTAAATTGTGGCTTCTAGCGTGGAATTTATGTTGTCAGCTGAACTTGGATTTCCACCAATGTTCACTTTTAATATGACTTCATCGTAGATAACCGTGCCCGCCGGCTGTGGACCTAACCCTAGGCCAGTTGCTCCCGCTGACGCATCCTTGCACGCGAACTGCAACTTGTCTGGTGCTGTGTAAATTGGCTGACTGGAGATGACGTCATCTGGGTGATCTACTCTTTGAGTAGTCGAGGCGGCAGGCACAGGGACGCGCGTGCTCCTCGATGGCAGTTCAGATTCTGGGAGCGCAGCACTCTCACTTGTGGATGCCATCGTACTTGCTGGTCCATCTTCCGTGTGGGCAGTTGTGCCATCCTTTTTAGCCATTGCCATTTCGTGGGCCGGATTCTTTTTCATTGGCATTGCATAGATATCCACCACTGCATCTTCGCTTTTATTCTTCTCCGCCGAAGCGTGTGCCACCGTGGAATTTCGCGTCTGCAAACTTACACGAGAGATGTTGAGGTGGGCTGGTTTGTTTGGAGACTGTGCAGCCTTTCCGCCGATCGAAACTTTATCATGCTTCACTTGTTGCCCTTCCATTGTACTCGTACCTCTAACGTCATCTCCATGCTTGGCAGTACTTTGAAATGTTGTAGAGCACGTCTGTACGTCTTCAGTTGCTCCCATTGTTTTAGACACGCTGGTGCAGGAATCCTCAAACCTGTATTTGGTGGAAAGGCGACGAGATGTCACGGGACCAGCGGTGCCCGATGCCGAATATGCTACAGCCTCTTCAGTCGCTTCTGTTGTACGAATAGACACATTGGACAGCTGCGATTCGCGCCTCATCCCATCATCCCAATTGCTCGCGGCTGGCCTGTCTGAGGGCCTAGCACCTTGACAGTGAACTCTTCGAATGTATGTAACCAAGTTTGACGTAGAGTATCGTAATATCTTGCCCGAGCGTAGCAAATAGAACGATATCACAGCACAGCAGCACGTCAGCAGGATCAACACTGCAAATATGGCGATTAGTATTGGCACGAGAGCGGATGCTTGCACTGAGGGTAGAGTGAACGCTGTGATGAGGGGGACTTCCGTTGGATATGTCAATACGGCACTCCTAGTTGAGCTGGCGGTCAGTTTTGAGAACCTGTAGCTTGTCAAATACGTGCGAAAAGTAGCAGACCACGGGGTTAATGTTATTGAATCAGTTGTCATCCGAATAGGGGGGGAAGTGGAGACAAAAGCCCGAGAGGTCGGTTTTGGTGAAGAGCTGCATTTGAATCCGCCTAGCGTATGATGACAAATGTCAGGCGCATCACAGCCTTGATTATGACGAGCGCATTTGTCAGCATCTAGAAGGGAAGCGAAGTTTGCAGCACGAAGATCTTCAACAGCCTCCCTAAATCCACGTATAATGATAAAATTAATCAACACATGAGAACCGATCTTCTTTTTTCTTTTTATATGTGGAAAAATAGGAAACGCTTACAGCCAAAATTTTGTCCAATTTGTTGCTACATGTATATCAAAACTGCTCCCTCCAAAACCTTTTTCGTAATCTATAGAAATGGACATATTCAAGACCATGATCTCACATTTTCTTCCTACCTCGGATTTTTCGTCCTCAATGTGAGTGTGGTTTATGGCTTCTTTTTTATCTTCGCAGGCAATGAATGCTGCATGTTGACTACACCATATGGCAAGATAGACCCTGTGTTAGTTAACTCTTTGAGGACCACCACGAATGGCCTGGTTTCCTACCGGGTACGCACAGAAAAGCCCAACAGTCGCAATTGTCCTCAGCAGGAACTGGAAATTTCGAAACTAATGCTTCCTGAGAAACTACACAAGCCGTGGGCCCTACTTCTCACTGTTTCTACACATTTTTTTAAGTTTACCACCTAGAGGATGAGAAGAATGCATCTGTGCGCCACTCCCCTGTATAAAGTAGGTGCTCGTATATTTCTATTCACTTAACACCTCACGCTTTAATTCCCCATGTCCGAATCAGTTGTGAGAAGGAGTTTAAATACACAGAAAGCTATTAGGGGTGGAGAGCAAAACAGAGATGATTGTGTCATTTCAAGAAGGGATCTTAATTTGGTGGTATGCGTTCGGATAAGAAGGCAGGTGTAATGCATGTAAACTCTTGTTCTGTTTTGGCCTAATCTAGAGGATATTAGAGTATGATTGGGAATGTGCATGGGATATGTCTTACCATGAGCCTGGATGATCATTGAGGGTAAGTAACCCCCTGTGACACGAGCTCCCTTGAATTGGCAATCTCCTGCGCATTTTAAATTTCTAATCACCAAGATTCTGATCTGAACTGGACCATCACCATTGTACAACTGAACCGGATTCTGCGTTTCATAGTTTGAGTTTTGAAATTCTTGTGCTCCACACTCCGACGAAGATTTCTGTAACAACGTCGTAGTTTTCATGAGACCTCCAGGAGCAAGAAAATGTCTCTCCACATTCACAGAGCAACCGCCCGAGGTGATGAGAGAGACAGATGTGATGGAGGCCCTGCATTGTGCTTCAAACGTGAGATTCGCCCAGAACCTTCCATTGAAACCTCCTGCAGTAAACGATCGGTCATTTTTCCGCATGAAGGTAAGGCTGAGTTGTCCTGTCCTCGACTCACTGATGTGCACATCTCCCACGTTCGTTGGTTTACATGCTGTGTTGATGTCGATGGCAGTTACCATGGCACATCCAATTGAGCAGAAAAGCACTGTAGAAGGACGGTCAAAGAGAAAATCAATATGTTTGACAGGTAGAATGTTTTAGATAGGTTGTGTAGGTAGATTGAGTACATTTATATACATGTACATGTGCACACTATGGAAGCTGATGAGTCCTCACCGAGGAACCAACCGCTTCAAATGTGTGTACAAAGTGCTGAAATCGAGACCCTTGGTCGGTTGAGCTGCTTTTGCCCCTCCTCCACTGCGTCGCCTGCCATCCCTATGTGTATTTCTGTTCGTTTTTGCCGGTGTTTGCACCATTATGGTTTGTGGGTATTTTGTAAAAATAAAAAAAATAAAAAAAGATCCACTGCACCCCATCACTGTTGAACACTCGTGGCGGTGGACGGCACCACTGATGCTGTGTACATTTTCATACGCATGAATATACAAACAGATTATAGTCGGCAGATATGGCAAACGAAAAGCATGGTCATAAACACATAACACAAACATAGCACTTGTTTGAACTCAGAGGTAAAAAAGATGACTAGCTGTTCTTTCATTTTTTTTTCATTTTCTTGGTATTCAATTCTGGAAATTTATGATTTTTTTACTATGTTCAAATACACGAACGAAGTCGCGGTCACATATTGAAAATAATTATGAACGAAATTAGCACTGAGACTGAGACAAAGGTGACAACTGCAGAGCAGACGCTGAGGGTGGGGGTTTGACGTCTCTGCCGACCTGGTTGAGGTATCCGAATCATGGTCAAAAACATGCACCAAAAATATCAATTCGTGTGGTGGAATGTGGCAGAATCGTCCAATGTAACCTGTCATAAAGTAATCACCAGAGAAACCCGACTTACAAAGTATAGTAGGGCTCTTCATTATCCAGCGGACGTAAGACTCGGGAATTGAGAAAACGCGGCAAGGTACATACAGTGAACGCCAATGACGTCTTAGTTTCTCAAGTTAACGGTAACCCACCGACTATTTGAAACACAATGAGTTATATCGAACTGTACGTTGAAAACGTAGTGAAAAAAACTGAATGAAAAGGATCTCACACAGAACGGTTCTACAGTCATTACAGTTCTTGTGCGTGCACATGCTTTTCCCACTCTGTCTTTAGGGTCCACCTGGTATGAAGCAAGGTATGCGCCAGGCGATCTGAACTTAGGGACGCACACGGATGCCGCACACTGCCATTGGGAGCACACAACATGAATAGCACAGCAAGCTCAGTCTGTCAGTGTCCAGGTTGTCACAGCATGGCACGCTACTAAACATGTCCTGCTTTCTTTACACCTCAATAATATTACTGCTTAGTGCAAATGGCAATGTTGAGGACATGACTTCCTCACATATACCAGCGCACAAACATTTCGATACTCTCTTTCACTACGGTGGTCCTTGTGGCCATCTGTCGTGAATGTTCGTGATCTTCGTATCCAGTTTGGAATAATGAACCAAGGTGCGTATTATCCTAGTGTGTCGTGTACAGGTGCGATTGCCCACAACTATCGCATCCTGTAAGGTTGTAATTATTTTCTCCCTGACAAATAATCCCGTGATGAGTCCAGCTGGGACCCAAGGTGTGTCCCAATCAAGCGACGCCTAAGCTGTCTCCAGCATGTTCAATGTGCCGATTGCTGTCTGATGTGCCGGGCCATCATGCCAGACACCGAACTGACCTCATGAACCACCCGCTACGTACAGATTTATTGCAGTTGTGGTACCTGGGGCGGCAGTGAGAATGTGAGCTCCGGGTTTTACTTAGTACTCTAGGCAACGTGTAAGGCCGCGTTCACACGTGATCTCGCACGTGGTATTTGCCCTATACCCATTAGATCTTTGCCCTATTGCGATTCAGACTTGTTTTGACAAACTGTGATCTTTAGTCAATTCAACATTTTGGCAAAAATGATTATGAGTAAGTAAATTCAAATGGGGAGATTTACAAAATATCAACCTAGATAGAATATACTTGACCTTCTGTAGGCTTTCACGATTATCTAAACGATTCTGGCTGTTTCTGCGCCATCAGCTTGGTTTTATTGGCCGAACAGGTCGGTGAAAGATCTTTAGAAGACTTACACTATCAATGCCACAGCTTTCGTACTGCATGATTCAGAGTGAGCTTCTAACGGGCCAGGTAATTTTAATCTAAAATTATAAACACTATATTAATGTAATAACACAAGAAGCTAATTTCACCAAGAGCTTCAACAAATAGAACGATTTCATACAGATACATGAGGTGGTTGTGTTAATTAACAAATAAAATCACTGGACTGCTCAAGTTCTATCCGAAAATACTATCCCCTTTATACTGGCTAGGTGCTACGGAATGTACTGTACATCTATCAGTAAATGTAAGTATATAGGTGCTACGGAATGTACTGTACATCTATCAGTGAATGTAAGTATATAGGTGCTCGCTTCTGTCCTGGTTAGCTGAATCATATGCTTCGTTGGTTGTCAAACCTGACGAACTACTGGTAGAAGGCACATAAGCAACGCTTTGGTACATCGGAACATTGACTGTAGGGCGTGTGATCTCGGGATCACACTGGGTAGTCGAACCTCCCGCATTTACCGGATGATCATTTTTGTCTATTCTGCCAGTTAACTTGGCAATTAAACCACGATATCGGTACGCGATAATAACCAGTGCAATGATCAGCATCAGAACTCCTGCAGCCACGCCAGCTATTACTGCGGCGTCACGTGTGGACGACGTAGACTTTGAGTCTCGAGTCCCTTGCTGCACTGTAAAACTTGATCTAGGAACTATTGTTCCCCACAATGGCGACTCTGAAACTTGGAGCGTTCTACGCCTGTCCTTGCTTGTAGTTGGTGTGAGTGATGCCAGGTCCGCATTTGTTCTTTTCAATTGCGAGGCCGTGTACGCAGTCAACGAAACTGATTCGAATGGCTTGGCTGTGGATTTGTAATGCAGGGGAGAGGTAACTCGGAATGATGTCGGCAACCATGGCGAGGTGGTCGTCATCGGTGAATGGGATGAACTGTAATATCTCTTTGCGATCTGGGTCTGAGTCTCTTGATTCGGAATGGACGTCATTGCGTACGACGGTTTAGTGTGCGGTGCAGTTGCCGTGGTGAAAATCGGAGGTTGCGTATCTTCCCAAACTGTGTTGAAGAAAACATTAAAAAAAACTGAGTTAGAATTTCTACTAGCTAATATGAAAAACCTAGAAAGAAGACGGGACACTAGTCTTCTAGCTACTAGTGCTCTGTCGTGGCATGTCTAGATACTCGGTGATTTTAGAATCTATGTGTTTCAGTTTTTGATTCCATTACAGGTACAGTCTAGTAAGAGGGTTGACGTATGCTCATTTTTCATAGTCATGGGTCCCTTATCCTGTCTACACGAAATTTAAAATTAGTGGGATTCGACCGAATATATTACCCGCATGCGGCATCCCAAAGAGCCGAAGTGACTTTCTAAATCCATGGCACATACATCGTTCACCATTAATTGCATTACGGGGCCGCCGGGAGTTAGACAGAGACAATGATGTACAATATGTATAATTGACAAATGCAAAAGGATACCGGAACATTTACTTACAGCGCAAATTTAGTGTCCAAAGTGTTTTGCCGGAGCCAGATGTGAGAACAGTGCAATTGTAGTCCGGATGCAGATCTTTCGTTCTGCCCGTCACCTCCAGCACGGGTGGAACTCTCATGTCAACCTGGTGCGTTTCTAGCTTTCCAAAATCTATGACTTTGTCGCAGAACGTGCTCCGCAAGCAATGGTGGAAGGTAGACAATGCGGTGGCTACCCGCAGTCCATCCCTTCTTATGATAGTAGATACTAAACATTCTGTGTTGGGACCCATTCGGAACGACAATTTCCTCAGTCTCATATTGCATGTACTATAAAACCTAAAAGTCGACACGTCTTCATTGACAAACCCTACACTCCTGTACGCACGAGGAAGAGTCGTATCACTAGCAAAATCTACCCCGTCGTAGGAACTATCTGGTGAGCCACGTTGGCCATCGAATGACATGCACCTTCGTGACTGGCATGATGTGATGCTGATTAAGAGTAAGATGCCTCCTGCATAGAACAAAACAAAGAATGTGAAGCAAAGTCTTACTTGCAACCGGCCTAGTTAGCACAAAACCAACGCATGCTATACGCCATGGACTACAATAACTCTGTAACTCGAACGCACTTATGGGCACAGTACGGATGGATAATTAGAACAGCATCCTCAGAATTGTCCAGTAAGCGTAACAGGGTTCTTTGATTTGACACTATCAGCATTTCCAGAAGGAAATGAATGATGGCTGGCTTGTTTTACATAATGTGTATTTAATGCTATACATGTACTTATTGAATGGTAAACCAAAGACACTTACCAGTCGTGGTCAGTTCCCTGATCCATTGCCGACTCATTTTTTCACGACGAAACCTCACTCACGTTAGGAACCACCAGAGCCTTTCTGTGACAGATGACTATGAATTTAGTTTTATAGAATGTTAGTTATAACACTTAATATTTCGCCTTTCCTCGCATGCGTGTATAACTTTAGGCAATTCTATGTACTCTTCTTCTCCTCAGTATGGCTTTATTGGAAACTAGCATTATCAATTCTACTCCTGACAACGCAGTATTTCTATCCAGTCACAATGTCTTTTACTGGACATTTCAACATTCGTGAGCACGTTACAATGCGGGTTAGGACACTTTAAATTGACAAACTATGTGCTCCATGGAACGAGGGCAGGGCCAACAGTCTGACGATGACTAAAAAACTCCATGTTACAGCTTGATTCGGCCTAAATTCCATGGTTAATGTGTGAAGTCGACGTTAGTTACGAGTTGAACCACTGCAGTTTATGGGTGGGGAGAACGGTGATTTGGCATATCTGCCCTGCAATGTTTCTGCAGACCATTGTTCAGTACGCGATCTGCCAAAACAAGCATACATAGTCTAAACTAGTCAAACGTGCTTCGTTTGGCCACTTCTGTATTTGTGATTGTCTGCAGGCGTTCGGATGTTAGCCAGGCTAGACTAGACACTTCGGATGTAAGGCATTCACAAGACCATGCCAGCGGGAAGGTTTGTGGTAGATTTCGCGTCAAATTAGTCGCGACCTGAACTCGTTATACTCTTCTTCACCCTTTGATTACCAATGCAATTCCAAATGTGTGCAAGCTGCTGTTCGGCATGTCTGACGCTGTACAGGACTGAGCACGTACCAGCAGTCAATTTAAAACTCCATTGACGCACTTTTGTGGCATCACCGAATGCTGAACAGTTGAAGGTGGCGCAAATTTGTGTGCATCTGCAAGTAAAGGTAATGTCTGGCAAGATGTTCAGCAACGACATATCCTTTCCCGAACTAGAGTACATCACGCATTACCGAGATAACAGTATTAATTATATTATACAATGGTATATACGGACACATGCAAAACAAGCTTGATTTCAGTTCACAAAAATTATTACTGCCGCTATCAGAGCTCACGGTGAACACCACAGGCATAACCATTCACACATGGCGAGCAGGGAGAGACGGAATAAGGGAGACAGAGACAGAGACAGCCATAAGCAGACAGAGACAGAGAGACAGAAAGAGACAGAAAGAGATAGAGAGAGAGGGGCAGAGAGGGACAGAGATATCTAGAGAGAAGACTGAGAGAGAGACAGAAACAGAGAGAAATAGAGAGAGAGACAGAAAGAACAAGAGAAACAGAGAGAGATACAGAAAGAACAAGAGAGACAGAGAGAACGGCAGAGAGAGCTAATCTTTATGTTGAGACTCCCAGTTCCACCCATAGTGGTCCCATGATCACTTTACCAGTTTCTGAAATGTCTTGCCATGAATTTAATCTTCCAAACAATGAATGGGGTTTCTGTTTTCACCGGGTCAAACCCAATGCGGAAAGTCTTTTTAAACAAATCAAACCGAAGTTCTCCATATTTAAAAACGCATTTCGAAGACTCCAGTCCATGTATAATAGGCTTATATTCATGATAATTAAAGCAAGCAAAAATGTATATAAACTAATGACCGTACTTCAAATCTGTTGAGGAAACCTAGGCACCAAAGAGACCGTGCTAGAGTATGTGTATTGAGGTCTAATGATTTTTAATGTGCGAATGGCTGAAATGAAGCTAGTTATTTAGTGGTTAGGGGACACACACAAATGTTCGACCAACTAGCGGAAGACTCACAAGTTAGCCCTGCACCGCGACTTCTGCCCAGTCAAATCGGTGAATGCGGATACTTAAAGTATGGTTACTGCTAATATTCCTTCGGAAAGCTGTTTTGTCAACCACAGGCTCGTCATGGGATGTGATCTTGAATAGGATTTTGCAATTTACACGCATCGCTGGCCTCAGACGAAGGGGCCTAGTTCGAATCGTTGTGGCGACAGAAAATATTAATATTTTGTTTCAGAATTTTCCCGTTTGTATCTTTCCTTCAAGTAAAAGAATAATTCACCTGACAAATATGTATAGTATATAGTAGGGCGCAAGAAACCAAGCAAGGTGTAACAGTGCGAAGTTAGCTAATAATAATCAAGGCCGCACGCACGCAGTGCCTAGGGTTCGGGGAAGAAAATAGCAGCTGGGAAACTGTATACATAATTATAATCTGTTTTCTGAGGCGTTAGGTCCTCTGTGCACTTCGCAGCGCTGTATAGTGTGCGATTTCACAAACCATGTCTGGACGGGTTATCCAAGCTATGCAGGGAGGTCATCTCTATTCGACAACGGCACATACTATACTCCACGAACTACATGTATCTCATGAACATCAATGCTTAAGAATGTTCTATCCAAACATTCACGACATCTCTAGAGGAAAGTTGAACCCTACGAATGAGTGTGTTCGTGAATGGAATGCTCACCTAAAACAGTCTGAGATGATGTAAAAATAGGCTGGAGGAAAACAAGTCCATTCAAGTATGTGTACTAATGGTGTCGCGCAATTTGCTATCGCAGCTTTCGGTACTATATCAAAACAATATTCTGGGCAAAAGTAAGCTTTTTTAAGGGTGTGAAAAGCCATTGTCATACAACAACCTTTGAGGCTGTGAAAATTCCACAATAGCGCCACTTTAGTAGGTGCAGTACGAAATACATGCATGTAGCAAAGGAGAATAGTAGCATACTTGTAGATCCGGATTGGGAACCAGATTTAAAGTTAAGTTGATTTACAGGGTCCGGAATTCTGCATGAATGGAGAAACTAAAGACATGCACGTTCCTTTCAAGGTATTTCGTAATAGATTGCTTCTTCTGGCTGCTGGTCAGTGCATCCGTAAGCCCTACATTCAGTGGGCTCCACGTGCCATGCACACGACGACCTAAGAACGGCACTCTCGCTGTGAGGCATGACTGGATTCGGAGGACTGGCTTTCAATTCCAAGTTGGAAACCTGTGGTTGAGCGGGACTCTTTCGCCGACCTGAACTGGTATAGCGATCAATGGTGTAAGGAGGATTGGCTCCATGACGCAAGTGCTTATCCTCAGTCGGATCTGCGTTGCGTGACGGACATGTCTTGCGCAGAACCAAGAACGTGATGCTGAACAGAATCGCAGTCCCCACTATAGCACCGGACACGGATGCAGCAAGAAGAACAACAGGATTAGCCGCCGCGCCCACTGTGGTGTCGGCAATGGTAGTGAGTGCGGCGGATTGAAATGATGTGGTAACAAGCTCTGAGGTTCTGGCTGGAACCATACTGGTGTGTAGCTGTGCATCTTCGACCAGGTTCCTTGTACTGGAAGACTGACTAGTATTTGACCTTCCGAGCCTTGTAGCACCTGGGATACGAAAAGAACAAAGGGATGAAGTTGTGTTCGATGTCAGCTGTGAAACATTTTTTACATTGTAACTACGAACAAGTGATTTTTGGTAACTTACAAAAAATCTACGTGGAGGTATTACTTTAAATATAGCTATGAATGTCAATCAACACAACAGATATACGACGACCCCGAGAACGACCACGTCTTAGATGGATCGACGTTTTCAAGAAAGACTAACAATGCATTAATCTGTCGCTTCTGGATGCTGTGCAATCTGCTTCTGATATAGCTGCTTGGCCCGAAATTTTTAACGGATGCGCTGACCTCATGCAATGAGTGATATGCGAACTGTCATTATTATTACAAGTATTATTAATAATTTTATAATAGCAATAAAAAGAACAAATTCTGCAGTCATCGCCACACTACAACGAAGTCATGAAAGTTTACCAGAATTAATTTTCTTGTCACATTCATCAGTGGAAAGTCGTGACTGAAAAGTAACCATGCTGAACAATGATTAAATATACATTCAATGATGTGTTACGAGAACAAAATACAGTGCCAAAATAGAAAGAGGGAAGGTGAGACAATAGCAGTGAAGTGAGAGCTAAGTGCAACGGTGGGTGAAAAACTAATAATTATAACGCTAAAACTGTGTAGTGAGACAAACAATCATGCTGTGCACCTACGAAAACAATTTTAACGCACCTACATGTTTCTTCTGCTTACAAAGATCAGGCTTATGCAAACGAATACAAACAGCCTCAAGTACTTTCAACTGACTAGCATACCGTGCACGACAAAGAACAGAAAAACTAAAATCATCATACACCTGCAGACACTTAGGGTGAGACAACAAGTGAAGAAAAACGGCAGACTTCTTACGATCACAATCACCATCAGATTCCTCGTCTCCAACAACCGCAACCTCGTCCTCCGTTCATCTCCCAACTCGTCCTCAGTGTCGTCCTCCGTGTCATTCTCCTCATCAACACTGATCGGTCCCAGGCTCGTTTGACGTTGTTTCACCTCTGTTCGTTGACTCCTCCTTTGATCTTGATGGCAACTTGTTACCATTGTTGTTGTTGTTGTTGTTGTTATTGTTGTTGTTGTTGTTAAATCTTGTGTTCCCAGTGTCCTCGCCGGTGCTTGATCTCCAGTACTGTAATAATTCATTGAATAATTAGCCGTTGATCGTCTAGGTCTTTGAATGTTGATTGTGTTACTTTCTTTGTTGAATTCCGTTCCCTTCAGCCTTCTTTCTCGTTGTTCACAATCAGTGCTTGCCTCATCCATATATGCACGTGCCACCGACACCACAGACTCAGCCCCAGCACCGCCGATGATACATGTAGGTGGCGGTTCTGGGGGAGGCAACGGCAAAGACGCGTGTGACGGCGATGAGGGCATTACCTCATCACAGCGTCCACTTTGGTCTTGAGCTGAATGTTGTTGTGGTGTGTTATCTTGCGTTGTTATGGTGCATTGTGTTGTGGTGACAATATGCCCATTACCCGACTCCAAGGCTCTCGATACGGGTAATGGAGGCACTATTGCCGATGACGGAAATTGTGCTAACGATGGCTGTGGCCGAGGGTTCTTCGGTGGCCTGCCGCGTTTTGGTCGCAGTGCTCCTTGAGGACATGAGTAAGTTTGTCCAACTCGGTCCGGTATCTACTCATGACAACACAGTTCGAGTAGAGAAAAAGTTGAATAGTTTTCTCAAGAGACTTAAGGAAAATAAACAGATATCGGAGGAAGAGTTCTTCAAAATGCGGCCCATTGGTTCCGTCCGGCCACGTCTCTATGGGCTACCAAAAATACATAAACCGAACTGTCCGTTGCGCCCCATATTATCCATGGTTGCATCACCACAATATAATATCTCTAAATGGCTGTGTGGTTGGCTTGACATCGTGCAAACGTTCTATTGCAAACATACAGTTAAAGACACCTTCGAATTCATTGACGTCCTTCGCTCCCACCCGGTTCCGGCCTCCGCGCATATGTGCTCGTTTGATGTTGTTAGTCTGTTCACGCATGTCCCGTTAGAAGAGACTATCAATATTTGCCTAGATGTGTTGTACCGAAATGATGAAGTTGACACGCCATGGATATCGGAGACGGCGTTCCGGGAACTGATGTTGCTCGTGACGACTGGTGTGGAGTTTTCCTTCGGTGACATTATGTACGGGCAGGTTGATGGGGTAGCCATGGGCTCTCCATTGGGTCCAGTTTTAGCGAATGTGTTCGTTGGTTACTGCGAGTCACTGATTGCAGAACAGTTGTGGCCAGCATTGCACGTTCGTTTTGTTGATGATTCCTTCACCTGGTTTGATTCTCTTGAAGATAGCCAAATCTTTCTTGGTATTCTAAATGACCTACATCCTTCCATACGTTTTACGTGTGAACACGAACAAGCCAACAAACTTCCCTTTCTAGACGTCCTTGTGGAAAAGTATAGTCAGGGTACCGTAACATCTGTGTACAGAAAGCCTACATTCACCGGCCAGTACATAATGTTTGACTCGTATTGTTCGTACCAATACAAGGTGAATTTAGTGCGTAACTTGGTGGATCGAGCAGAGCGTATTTGCTCCTCTTCCAAACTAGCTGAGGAACTGGACTTCCTTAAGTCCGTTTTTCTAAAGAACGGGTACCCTGACGATCTATTGAAGGAACTCATGAGCGAAAGGCTGGATAAAAAGGAAAAACGTTTTGGCCCGGACAAATGTCCCACGTATCTTTCTCTCCCCTGGAAAGGTAACCTCTCATTATCCATGAGTCGCTTGGTACGGAAAATTGTACAGCAAACTTACTACGCGGTACATTTTGTACCCGTTTTCACAACTGTACGTGCGTTCACGGTGAGGAAGGATGTCCTACCAACCCAACTTGCATCTAAATTGGTATACCAATTTGAGTGCCGACAATACGGTAGTCGGTACGTTGGTAGGACTCTTCAACATCTGAACGCACGTATCAAGCAGCACGTCCCACTGCATATGCTGACTGGCTCGGCACGGGCACTGCGACCAAAACGCGGCAGGCCACCGAAGAACCCTCGGCCACAGCCATCGTTAGCACAATTTCCGTCATCGGCAATAGTGCCTCCATTACCCGTATCGAGAGCCTTGGAGTCGGGTAATGGGCATATTGTCACCACAACACAATGCACCATAACAATGCAAGATAACACACCACAACAACATTCAGCTCAAGACCAAAGTGGACGCTGTGATGAGGTAATGCCCTCATCGCCGTCACACGCGTCTTTGCCGTTGCCTCCCCCAGAACCGCCACCTACATGTATCATCGGCGGTGCTGGGGCTGAGTCTGTGGTGTCGGTGGCACGTGCATATATGGATGAGGCAAGCACTGATTGTGAACAACGAGAAAGAAGGCTGAAGGGAACGGAATTCAACAAAGAAAGTAACACAATCAACATTCAAAGACCTAGACGATCAACGGCTAATTATTCAATGAATTATTACAGTACTGGAGATCAAGCACCGGCGAGGACACTGGGAACACAAGATTTAACAACAACAACAACAATAACAACAACAACAACAACAACAATGGTAACAAGTTGCCATCAAGATCAAAGGAGGAGTCAACGAACAGAGGTGAAACAACGTCAAACGAGCCTGGGACCGATCAGTGTTGATGAGGAGAATGACACGGAGGACGACACTGAGGACGAGTTGGGAGATGAAACGGAGGACGAGGTTGCGGTTGTTGGAGACGAGGAATCTGATGGTGATTGTGATCGTAAGAAGTCTGCCGTTTTTCTTCACTTGTTGTCTCACCCTAAGTGTCTGCAGGTGTATGATGATTTTAGTTTTTCTGTTCTTTGTCGTGCACGGTATGCTAGTCAGTTGAAAGTACTTGAGGCTGTTTGTATTCGTTTGCATAAGCCTGATCTTTGTAAGCAGAAGAAACATGTAGGTGCGTTAAAATTGTTTTCGTAGGTGCACAGCATGATTGTTTGTCTCACTACACAGTTTTAGCGTTATAATTATTAGTTTTTCACCCACCGTTGCACTTAGCTCTCACTTCACTGCTATTGTCTCACCTTCCCTCTTTCTATTTTGGCACTGTATTTTGTTCTCGTAACACATCATTGAATGTATATTTAATCATTGTTCAGCATGGTTACTCTTCAGTCACGACTTTCCACTGATGAATGTGACAAGAAAATTAATTCTGGTAAACTTTCATGACTTCGTTGTAGTGTGGCGATGACTGCAGAATTTGTTCTTTTTATTGCTATTATAAAATTGTTGTCTCCACGTCGATTATTTGCATTATTAATAATATTATGAACAGGATGAAGGTCGGAGACATCACGCAGGTACGTTACTTGTTCGACGTGTATGTGAATTTTATAACAATAAAATTATGGAAACCCAGAATCGATTTTTTAGTTTGGTATGTGTTCGCACTGATGATAGGAACGAGAAAAATAGTACTTGTAACGTAGGTGCGGGATGTCTGCGGCCTTCATCCTATTCATAGATATATTTTTGTAACAACCTAAACATTTACGCTGCGTTTTGTAATATTCATCCTGATTTCCTTCTTAGAAACAATAAAATACTTGCCTTCGGGTGAGGTCGCAGGAATTACGGTTATTTCTTCCCCCAAGCACTTGAACGACCCCATGGTATTGACACAAGCCGACCCTGTACAGCGTGGTCCCAGTAATCCGGGAGTCCTGCACTCGTTGATATCTGGGAGTACAGAAGAAATAATAGTCAGGCTTCTTTAATTGTTGACTGATTTTGAACATATTCTTTTTAGTGCCAGTTTCAGTTTGATTACCGATTTACTCTTCAGACTCCCCTTGGCACCTGGTAATGGAATGTCTAGATGAATAAAGTCACAAGGAAAAGTCTGTAACTTCTGACAGCTACCCAGCAATGAAGACCTAGAGAACCATTCACATGTATAATCGAGAGCGCAGTGTGCAGTCAGACGTCGCCTTTTCGGTCCTCTATTTTTCCAGA